GCTAAAAAATAAACCTTAGACTCAAACGTTAGAACAGGCTTTTCCCCGCAGCACGCCGTGTAATAAATACTCACAAAGAAAACGGCGGCCATTACAACTTATGTCTAAAAATGCTTCGGTTAAAACACTCGACTCCGGCTACACGACGCCCAGCTGGAAACACTTCACGCAAGTCGAGCTGCCCGAGATTCACAGACTTTACAGAAAATGTTAAATTTGTGATTTATATCGTTATCAGGATGATAGATGTCTTATATCGGGATATGAGATTTTGGTCATATCGCACAGCCCTACTTCCCAGTCACTTTTGGTACAGCCGAGATCTGAAGACTACAGGTGACCACGCATTTGCCTTGGCTGCACCCAATTTGTGGAATAACCTCCCCATTATTATCCGTGAGTCCGATTCCATTCAATCCTTCAAATCGCGGTTAAAACCTATTTATTTAACCTCAACTTTTCTACCAGTTAATGCTTGTTGCTACTTTAGACTTAGAGCTTTTTATTGTCATTGTGCAGTTTCTTGCACAGTGAAATTGGGTAGCTGAACCACAAAGGTGCTAAAGTAAGAAGGAGAAACCAATATACAATGAAGGCGGAAAATAAATAAATAATTAAATAAATAGAATAAAATAAAAAAACAGTGTATACATAGGAGGAAACATTGAAACAGACTGGGACCAAAATAATTGCACATGAGCCAAAAATATTGCACAGAACATGGAAAGACTGAGATACTTTAGTTCTATTCTTAACTTTAAATTATTTTTAAAATTTTCTTGACTCTTTTATCCTTTACACATATCGTTCTATGATGCTTTTATTTGTATTTCTTTTGTTTCTGTGTTTTTAATGCCATCAACCTGCGAGCATACATGGTACTTGCCATAGTCTTCATCTGTCTCTATTACTTATATCTGACCCTCTTGTATGTTAACTTTGGCATACCACTGTTTTTTAAATGTGCTTTAAAAATAAAGTTTGTTGTTAATCATTCTATAGCGATGTGAGTCTTCTCTGCTTCTGGTGGGAATGCCGGTTTTCTTGACGAGCATTAAAGCTGTGTGGGATTCTGAGCGCAATAAAAAGAGCTAGAAGAGCAGTGTTTAAAGGTAAATGGAGCCCACCACTGATTTGCATTTAATTATTCATTCAGAGCGACAGATTCCTGCCCTGGCCTTGCTGTTTTTAAAGACACAAGAATCCATCACAGACATGCACTATGCAATTTTATTTCATGACTTTTCCTTTGGGTAATAATGACTTATTTATTGGACTTTAACTTCGCTCTGTAAGCAGCACACAGGAGGGGAGGAGAGAAGTCACTGAGTTTGTGTATGTGTGTATGTGAGTGAACAAAAAGACATAACAAGTCTCCAATAAAAGATTCATAGGGTAGAGAAAGCTGGTGTTCATCATAATTTACATACACTGGAAGCACCAATCGAGTGACATTATTACTGCATAATAAAGCCCAACAGTGGACTCAGAGCTGGAGACAGGTTATAAGTAGCCTTGTATTATATGGTTTTAGTCAGTCCAGGTTCTTGGGTTGGAGCCTTGGCTCCCTGTGAATGCTCAAGGAATGTTTTATTTCCCTGGGTTCCCAGCTAGCCTTGAATAATTCAGAAACAACAGGACTTACCCTGCCAGTGAACACTCTTACTTCTAATCTCCACTCTGACATTATCAGACTGGCTTCTTCTATCACATCTGAATAGTTGTGTGATTAGACTAACTGTGCAGGTCAATGCTGCCTGAAATGTCAGTGGTAGCCATATTCACCAGTAAAACTTGAACACACACACACACACACACACACACACACACACAGTTCAGCGGTTTGAGGAGTGGCTCAAACCACCTGACTGTGCTGGCTGTCATTTTAAGTTTGTGAAGTGATTAAGATCATCAGAGCTGCAAAAATCCCATCACGCATGCTGAGAGTCTGCCTGGTAGCTGCACATCAGATCACATCATGACAACAGAAGCAATATTCATCCAGGCTGCGACTCACTGTAACATCGCTTATCGCTTTTTTGCGTAAAATGTAGGAATGTGGGGGAAAATCGAGAAAAGCGCACACTGAGCTCATTTTTCATGTTAAACATGTGTGCATGTTATCTTTTTATGGCTCTACACCAAAGTTGAATATCGATGATCTCAGCATCAAGAGTGTTGGACAAAGCGAAGGGTTAAATATTATTATTATTTGAATCTGCAGCTCTTATAACTTTACAGCAAGTCCAGAATATCAGTTGTCTCTGACGCCAAAGTGCAAACACAAAGCGGAAAAAGCGATTTACTAAGAAGAACCTACCTCACTCATGGCTTCGCTGTGCGTGTCTGCGTGTGGATTTCTGTGATGCTCACCGGTCGACTGACTGAAGGTACCGTCCTCTCCACGCGCGCACATTCCGCTTTTATAGCGCAGGAAGCCCCGCTCCCCCCTCACCACATATCCACGAAGCCAATGGGCTCCTCGTCTGTAGCTCAACACGAAGGAGCAGCCTGCACGTCTCACACCATCTGCTGATTCTGCGGGTCCGCTGAAAATAAAATAAGCCATCAAACACATTTTTTTCTAAACGCATCATGTATTATATGTTTACTAAACCGGATCGTTTCTATATGTGAAGCTCCTGTTAATCCCGAACCAGCACTGCATGTTCCAGTCGCTGTGGTCTTACATTTCCGATGTTTTCTGGCTAATGTTGATTCATTGTTAAAACATAAAAGATTAAACTTTTCAACTATTTTGCAATTTGAATTTTAGTATTAATCTCCAGTCTATAAATGTATATCAGTTTTAGTTGATTAGTTTATATCAATTGTAGTGACTCTGCATCATGAAGACAAAGCAATGGTTGAAAATTAAGCAGGGAATTTAACCACGCCTCTGACTATTGGTGAATCTAAAAACAGCATAAGGACTGCAGTGAAGGAGACTTGTGGATATTTCTTTTGAAAAAAGCCACTTTTGTAATGTTTTTTGAACCACTGTGCTATGCTGTGGATTTTTGTTTGTTTTATGTTGTATTTGTAGCATTTTTAAGATGTGTTGGGCAGGGATGCCACCAAGGAGGAGGAGGGGGGGGCACCCCTCATAAAATAAAGATAATAAAAAGATGTCTCCAATATTATTTTTCCAACATTTTCAAACAAAAGTAAGGATTCATGAAAAAATGATCGTTTTTCATGGTGGCTCCTGCTGCAGCTTGCAGAGCACATTTGGAGTATTGTTTGGCATTTTGATCAATAAAAATGTATTATCCAGAATGTATTTTTTTTATCCACCCACACAGGTGTTTTTACTCATAGCTGCGTGGGTTTGCAGAGCCTTTAACTACAAATAGAGTGGGCAGATATGTAGTATTAATAAGTAGCACTGTTAGTAAGTGGAGATCAAATTTGCACTTTTGTACTTCCCAGCAGTATTTCTCACGATGAAGTCTGGTGGCAGAGGTGCTGTGGGGCTGCAGCAGCAGGTGCCTGAAGGCGTATTGGGGTAGAGGGAATATTAATAGTACATATAAAAGAGGAACCCTGCTGCAGAAAACTGCAAAGTTGGACATTATTTGTTTCCTATTTTATCTTGAAGACCTGAAAGTAACCTTTTATCGTGGTTAAATACTTCAGTGAAAGAGTTCAGGCACACTTAACGCTGTAAAATGTAGCAGGCAAACTGATGTGCAATGTTGCTATAGATCACTTTATAAGATGTCTCATTTATGTCAGTGACTACTGATTTTACAA